AGAGCAACAATTTATAAATGGGACCTCTTGAAATTGAGAAGCTTTTGTAGGGTAAAAGACATGGTCAATAAGACAAAAAGACAGCCTACAGAATGGGAAAAGATCTTCACCAACCCCACCCACATTTGACAGAGGACTGATCTCCAAAGTATATAAAGAACTCAAGAAACTAGACATTAAAATATTGAACAATCCAATTTAAAAAATGGGCTAAAGAGCTCTAAACAGAGAATTCTCAAAAGAAGAATCTCAAATGGCTGAAAGACATTTAAGGAAATGCTCATCATCCTTAGTCATCAGAGAAATGCAAATCAAAATGACTCTGAGATACCATCTTACACCTGTCAGAATGGCTATGATCAAAAACACTAATGACAGTCAATGTTGGAGAGGATGTGGAGTAAAGGGAACACTCCTCCACTATTGATGGAAGTGCAAACTTGTACAACCACTGTGGAAATCAGTATGGTGGTTTCTCAGAAAATTGGGAATTGATCTACCTCAAGACCCAGCCATACCACACTTGGGCATATACCCAAGGAATGCTCAATCATACCACAAAGATACTATGTTCATAGCAGCATTATTCATAATAGCCAGAACCTGGAAACAACCTAGATGTCTGTCAACTGAAGAATGGATTAAGAAAATGTGGTACATATACACAATGGGATACTACTCAGCAGAGAAAAACAATGACAGCATGAAATTTGCAGGCAAATGGATGAAACTAGAAAATAACATCCCGAGTGAGGTAACCCAAACCCAGAAGGACAAACACAGTATGTACTCACTCATCAGTGGATACTAGATATAAAGCAAAGAACAGTCAGACTGCAACCCACAGAACCAGGGAGGCTATATAGCAGGGGGGACCCTAGGATGACTGTGGCTATATTAAGTTTTGGTTTTATTCAATTACTGGGCAAGCTTCAGTGAAACATTTCATTACTAGGATAAGAATTTGTACTGCATCAAGCTGATAATAGAAAAAAATTAAATAAATAAAAATAATATTTTTTTTTTAAAGAAGCCCTTTAGTAGAGACAGAAGGGTCTGGTGGGTTTTGACTTGGGCCTTCCTGAGGCTATCCTGTGTTTCTAACTGTCTCTCTCCTCTATATGTTCCTTATTTCTCCCTGCTCAAGAGTACCCTGGGGGAAAAAGAGAAAGCTGGTCTCCCTCAAATGGCCCTGGAAACAGGGACCAACCAGGGACTTGGCGAAAGCTTAAGGAGAAAGCCCCATGAGAAGCAGTTGGATCGGTCCAGTTTTGTAGTGAAAGTGAAGGCGGTTTTTTTTTCCTCAGGAGGAAGAATGAGGGGCCGAAAAACACCCGACTGAGGCTGCAGCATAGATATATCTTCTATCAAAATTTCTTTTTCTTCTCTCTCTTAATTTATATCTATGGGAAAATGGTGTAGGAAGAAATTTAGAGTGAGGCAGAATATAGAAATATTGGGTTAGGAATATAGGTAAGAAAGAAAAAACTTAGGGTAAAGTAGTATAAGATAAGCAACTAGACAGAGAAACTACGTCCTTAATTTTCTAAATATGGGGCAAGGAATGCAAACTGGGAGAAATCAGAGGAAATATCTATCAAAGAAGAGCTTAATGGAGAGAGAAAGATTCTTGTGGGAAGATTTAAGTCCCAAGTGGCAGAGGAAAGAATTTTCCCTGAGGTGGATGTGGATGAAATAAAACTTTTCTCTCTGCAGATGTTGCCACTGTATGGAAACACCGTACCATCAGAATTAGTTTCCTCTTGGTCATGAAGCCAAAGTTTAGGGAAAATTAGGTGGTCTTTCTCTCTCAAAAACTGAAAGCTTTCTTGGGAAAAACTTAATCTCTCTCTAAAAAACTAAAAAGCTTTTTTAGATCTTTGCTTCTCAGAAATTTCTCTTTCTGTAAGGACAAAATTCGATTCACCTGGAACTCTATGGGAAAGTCACCTGTGGTTTGCTCTAAAAAAAAAACCAAAAAGATCTCTTGGAACAAGGCAAATCCTCTCTGCTAAGCCCTGTCTCTCCAAGCTAGAGAAAAACAGTGGCCAGAGTTCCCTGAGGCAAGGGCCTGGTGAGACAGTACAGGCAGAAAATGGAGCAGGGACACACTCCTCCCTGAAAGGTGCAGGACCTGAGGAAGGCTGCTAGCACAAAAAAAAGGGTCTAAGTTCCAAGCAGTAGCTGCAATGGCAGCATGGGAAAAGCTGAGGCAGAAGCAGGGACAGAAGCTCCTACTTCCAGAAGTTAGCAGTTAGCAGAGGAATGAAGCCAGGGCCATTGTGAATCTGCATCTGGGGGGAAGGAACAAGCAGAACAAGACAAAGATCTATCAGGGGAAAGTCTCTCTGAAAGGGTTGTGAAAAAGCTTTATCTTCAGTACTTTTGTTTTCCCTCACTGACCCAGTAAGGTGGAAGAGCAAGCCCCAAGGGAATTTTGCTTCGGTCACAAAAGGACCTGCCTGAATGTGTGAAACCAGGCAGGAATGACTTAGCTCCAGGGACATATCAGGAAAGAAAAACACCTAGCAATACTAGCTCAGGGAGAGTAGAAATCTCTTGATCTCTCATGATGAAAAAAGCAAAAAACTTGACTCAAACCTCTCGTGCTAAAAGCAGAAACTTGATGTTAACCATGTAAAGGGAAACAAAAAATGGCATACTCCAAAGGAATTATGGGAAATGTAATCCATAAGGTCATTCGTAACAGTGGGCCCATATAGAGAAGTGCACTATGTAGTTTTTCAGATAAAATGGCAGTACTGCCCAGAAAAACTGGTTTTTTAGCTGAAAGTGAAGTTCCTTTTCAAAGCAATGTTAGAAAGCTTAATCTTACCTCCTGAGAACTAAGAACAGGCAAACAGCCTGCCTCTGAGGAGATTATTAAAGTGCTAATACTGTTTATCAACAAACCATTTTGAAACCCTTAAAAAAAAAAACAAGGGAAAATGGCACTTACACTGAGAGATTTCAAGAGCTTGCAAGATTGAGTTGGACTTAAGATTCAAGAGAAAAACATTGATATCATTAAAAAATGCTCATGGTAAACTTAAAAAGCAGCTTTAAAAAATTAAGAAGGGGGAAAATTGAGAGTTTGTTGAGTGTCAGCTCCAATGAAAAGCTGAAAAGAAATGGAGCTTGGAGACATATACCGCTTGAGATAGTGCCTAATAGCTGTGCAAGGAGATTTTGCTAAGAGTTTTACAGCAGCTCAATACAGTAATTTCACCCTCATCCTGAGGCGAGGCTTTTCGGTAGAGCAAACTGAAAGTTCTGCTTTAACAGAGACATTTGTCTGAATCATAGCACTCAGGGGAGCTGCAATGAGTTAGGTAAAAGGACAGGCCCTAGTTAGAAACCGTCCGCCACTGTGCACACTTCTGCCAGTTCCAGATCAGTTGAGAGAGCTCGATGGGAAAGGTGACTTTGGGGCAGTGGCATTGTCCCAAGAGTGTTACAGCCCCCTAGCAACAGGTGTTACCATTCCATAGCAACAGCACTCACTGAATCCCAGGGTTGAGGGAGCCATTGACAAATTAGGCTCTTATTTCCAACTGTCAGGAGAACTTTCAGAATGATATCAAAACTGAGTATAAACTCTGAACTTAAACTCTGAACTTTAGAAATGATTTTGTGTACTTCCCATCTTGTTAATAGTTTATCTAAGAAGACTTTCCTAGATGTTAATTTAGAAAGCTCTTCTAGGTGTTAAGAAATCTCTTCTAGATACTTTCTAGTGTAAGTTAGTTCTATTAAGAGATAGTTTTCTATATATGTGCTAAAGTTTGTAAAATAGAGTTTCCTTATGAATATAAGTTTATAAAATAGTTATATAGAGTGTGCTTTTGAATATAGGCTCATAAGAAGTATAAATAAGTATACGTTGAATGTGAGTTTTGTGAAAGGGTAAATGTTGAATGTAAGTCTAAATGTTTAATGTAAGTTTGTAAAATGTAAAATATGTATAGTGATGTAAGTTTGTAAGAAGTGTAAATACATATAGTAAATAGCCATGCTAGATGTAAATACATATAGTAAGGTTTATACTAGAATTATGTTGATGTTAATAAACCAGAGTTTGGTAAAGCTAAGGGAATCTCTGTTTGATGTAATTAATCTGATGTGGTTTGCATCAAGAGTTTATTGATTTAAAAAAGGGCTTGGCACAGCTAAGGCTATTATAGACATCTTAAGATTCATTCCAAAAAAGATATGCCATCTCTGTCATCCTCTACTTTTGTACTGGGAGGTTGTGGCAGCTATGAAGATCACTGTGGAGGTTGTAAACTCAATAGGAACTTGGGCCAGAGCTGCGTTAACCTCAGTACCCCCCTCCTGCCAGAGGTTGAGAGTCAAGGACAGGCTACTTTCTCTTGCCAGATTCCCAACCTAAGCTAGAGGGCTCTTGATGGAAAGTGTACCTTGATGGAAAGTGTACTTCCAAGATGGGTAAGGGTTGTCTGACTGAAGGGGATGACCTAAGACAAACCCAGTCTATCTGAGGGGCCTGAGGAGCTCTTTAAAAAAATTAAGAGGAGGGACCTGTGGGAGCCCACGAAAGCTTCCTAGTGAGATCTGAGCTTGCTTTACACAGCAGGACTGCATTTGGGGATGCCTGGACCACATGCATGGTTACCAGGCGTCTGGGATGGTCTGCACTTGGCCATGCTGGGGGAAGGTCTTTTGCTCCACCCCTTGGCATTCCTTTAAAAGCCCATTTAGTAGAGATATAAGGAGCTGGTGGGTTTGGACCCAGGCCCTCCTGAAGCTATCCTGTGTTTCTAATTGTCTCTCTCCTCTATATTTCTATCTATATATTCCTTATTTCTCCCTGCTCAAGAGTACCCTGGGGGAAAAAGAGGAAGCTGGTTTCCCTCACCTGCTTTCATCCCAAGGTCACATTTGGGGGTCAAAAATAAACGTTTTGTAATGTCTTTTTCCAAGCAGAACTGCAAACCGTCATTTGGCTAGTACAGGCTAACAATCACAATCAAAATTGCTTTGTCTTTTTAAATCATTTATTCAAAGTCAAATTTTACCCCTGAGACAAACAGAATCCCCTCATAATAATTATAGTATGCGTTTACAAGCTGCTGACTGAATGCTTTGCTCAAAACTACACTGTGTGTTGATGTTGTGGTCAACCTTACTAGCTCGGGAACCCACTAAGAGACATACTGGGCAAGCCTGCCTGCCCGGGGTGTTTCCTGGAAAGCTTCACAGAGGGAGGTAAACCTTCCCCCACGGTGGTCAGCAATTCTCCCTGAAGCTGCCCAGATACAGAGGTCCAAGGGAAACGGGCTTTTGCCTTTCTGCCTTCACACTGGCTGGCAAGCCCATTCACTCTTTTTTCTCCACTATTGCTACTGTCCTTTATTGACTTGGGAATCCGCCTTCTCCAGTCTCCAATGTGGACTGAAGACCACATGCTCTCCAGGAATTCTCCAGGCCTTCAGCACCAGACCCAGGACTCATGGACTGATCTCAGTCTCCAAAAGGCAGACAGCCATTGTTGGATTTTCCAGCCAGTAAGCCAACCTAATAAATCTCCTTTGATTGTATACACACACACACACACACACACACACACACACATCCTATTGATTCTGTTCCTCTAAGAACCCTGACTCAGGCATACACTAAAATAAAAAGAGGTTATTATCCTCATTTTGTAGTATGAGCTCAAGAAATTTAGTTAATTGTCTAAGGCCCCACAGCAAGCGGAAGAGAGCAGGTGTCAAACAGGAATACCACACAGCTAAGCGCGTGCTTTCTAATCTGTTACGTCATCTCTCTTAGATACAGTCTAACGAGAAAACAACATCCAATTCGGTCAGTGTATTTCAAATGAAAAGAAAGGCAAAGTATTCTTTTTCATCAGTTTTACTTAATTCAAGAAGTAGGTGGCTGGGGCTGGAGAGATGGCTCAGTGTTTAAGAGCACTGGCTGCTCTTCTAGAGGACCTGAGTTTGGCTCCCAGCACCCAAGTCCAGCAGCTCAAAACCATCTATAACTCCAGTTCCAGGGACTCTGACACCCTTTTCTGAATTCAAGGGAATCCATACACACAGGGCATATATTTACACAGACACAAACATGCACATAAATTTTTTTAAAAATCTTTTAAAAAATGTAGGAGCTAGAGAGATGGCTCAGTGGTTAAGAGCACTTTTAAGAGCTTTTGCAGAGGACCTGAGTTTGATTCCTAGCACCCACCAGACAGCTCACAACCATTTATGACTCCCATCTCAGATCTGACACCCTCTTCTGGCCCTCACAGGTACTGCATGCACAGGGTGCACATGCAGGTCAAACATCCACACAAACAAAAGAAAAAATTAAACTAAAAATCCAAAGAGATAGATGATCTAAAGCAGTATTTCCTCCTACCCCTGTGCTGGGGATAAAACCAGGGCAGTCAAGGGCTCTACCACTGAGCTGCATCCCCAGCCTTCTGAGCAGTTTTCTCTCTTCCCTCTGCTTATTCTTTCTCTAAAATGAGAACAAGAAAATACTAGCATGAGTCAGGGGACTTATTCTTAGATGTAGTAAGGGCTGGGAAAGACGCCTGTGCAGTCATGTACCTTCCCGGACACCATCCCCCGGTGGACAAACCCCTAGTCTCCACTGCGCAGTTCGTTGACCAGTGAACTGACAAGCGCGTTCATTCCAAAGTGGTTCGGATCGGGATTTTTAAGGCTATTTTCTAAGTGATTTAAAGGCAAATAGAAAGAGAAGTCTTAAAAATGCATATATTTCCATCTCACATCTCTCATAGCAGAAAATATATATATTCATTTTTCCATAATATCTAGAAAAAGAAGAAATGCTTACTTCTTTCAAAAATACTTAGGCTATTCACTAAAATCAGTATTTTTAAAATGCTCCACATGTGTTAACACTGAGAAACGGTCATGCTTTTACCACTTCCCGAGAATGAGGGAGGCCTGACTTCCCAGATCTGTCTTTGGCCTGTGTCATGTTAGAAAGAAGGGGTGGGCAGGGGCTCCAGGGACGTGTGATGACTCTGGATTCGCTTCAGAAGCTGCTGGGCCACAGGTTTGAATTCTGTTTCCCAGTGGAGTCTGTGATAGCTTCTAAGGTCTTGGTCAAAACTGCCATCCAGAGCCAGTTCTTCATCTGTATCCGGAAAAAAAAAAAATCAAAATTAGAGCAATTACGTGGAGCATGATCACACTGAATAGAATTCGTTTCCCATGGGGGGAGACTTTTCATTCAGGGTCATCTTTAATGCCACCATGACTGGACATGACCCAATGACACACTATGTGATTTAGGATTAAAAGGGGTGTATTGATTGATTGATTGATTGATTGATTGATTGATTTGGTCTGTGTGTTTTTGAGATAGGGTCTCCTATGCTGCCTAGGCTTCTGCTAATCTGTGGCTCCTGAACTCGTGATTCTCCTGCCTCGGATATCCCAGGGAGAGGCGACCACAGGCTCATACCACTGCACCCTGAGAAAGAAAGCTATTTTAATGAGCATTCTTTTGAACTTTACAAATAGTTAAGAACAAAGTGTGTGTGTGTGTGTGTGTGTGTGTGTGTGTGTGTGTGTGTGTGTGTGTGTTTACTCAGGTCTTTTTTTGATTATTTTTATTTTATTATTATCATTATTAATATTTATGGGTGTTCCCCCTGTTGTAAGCCTGTGCACCACGTACATGTCTGGTGTCTGTGGAGGTCAGAAGAGGGGACTGGATGCCCTGGAACTGAAGGTAGAGATGGTTGTGAGCCTCTGTGTGAGTGCTGGGAATTAGGACAGTGCCTTGGAATTTTAGAACCCCAGCATTCAGACGCTGGAATGCTAAGTGCTGAGACTGCTAGCATGCACCAGCATGCCCCTGCAAGCTAGCATGCATCAGCATGCCCCTGCAAGCCAACATGCACTGGCATGCCCATGCAAGCTAGCATGCACCAGTATGCCCCTACAAAACAAGTATATTTTAATGTCTCAATTTAAAAGGGCAGTAATTTGTTGTTGTTTGTTGTTGTTTGTTGTTGTTGTTGTTTGGGAAAAAAACCGTCTTAGATTGAAGTGAGCTTCTCTCTCAATAGTTTCCTAAGTTTCACACATCTGTTTGCATCCAAAAGTCAGTAACAATTTCTCAAAATAAATGAAGACTAGATAGATGTGCTTTAGAAAAGGCTAATTACTTCAATGATAGAGAGGAATTCATTGGGGGAAATGGGTCAATTTGACACCAAAGTCACTCCCCGACCCCACACTTCCCATAAAAAAAAAAAAAATGGGAGGATGTTAGAATCCTAAAGACCGAGTCCCCAAAGAAAACATAAAAACTGCAGAAAGCACTTGTGAGAATAAAATGAAAAATAAAAGTTCAGTTTGTTCAGCCCAGAGCACACCGGATGCTGTGAGCACTCTTAAGTAGCTCCATCCCGCGTGGAAAGCCACATGGCCACAGTCCTCACTAGCCACCTCCTCATTCTGTTCCTCCTGGCCTCACTCACACCCTAGGTGACAGCCTTAGGAAAGTGCACTGGCCCTGCCATGCCTAGCTCTGTGGCCTGAGGTGGACAACTTACCTGGCGGCCACTGAGTCCCACGGTGACCACAAATCCTGTTACTCACACGTGCAAACATGCTGTAGGGCCGATTAGAGCCCGTCAAGTGGCGCCTGCTGCCCTGTTTACAGTTTCTGCACCAGACATTTGTGTCTGCTCAGTGTGTACTTGGCACCAAGGGTGTGAGTGGCATCGGCGTTAGATAAGGGACTGTCCCCTCCCCTCCTCAGGATCAAGTGCAGAGTTATGCGGCGCTGAGATAAGTTCTATGCAGACACAAGCACGCCAGCCAGACCTCCATGGAGACCTTGTAAGCAAACCTGGCCCTCCCCACGGGTGAGATAACACAGGCCTCGAGCAGGGAGGGCGCGGCCAGTGTTCCATGCCTTCAAAGGCCTTCCTGTCTGGCTTCTTCTGGACAAGAAGAGCCTGCTAGACAGAGTGACTCCAGATTTCCAGACCACCTTCCTGTTTCCTCTTTTCTAGATCTTTCTGAGCACTAAACATTTGCTGGCAGAGTCTGTGTTCTGTTCTCCTTTCCCAAGGTGTTAGTTCTAAGCAGCAGGACCCTTCACAATTCCTTCCTCTGCTAGGGCTATGGATGCATTTGGTGGTTTGGCATATTCTCTGTTTAGGGGGGTTGTTTGTTTGTTTGTTTTGGTTGGTTGGTTGGTTGGTTTGGTTTTTCAAGACAGGGTTTCTCTGTGTAGCTTTGGCTGTCCTGGAACTTGATCTGTAGACCAGGCTGGCCTCAAAATCAGAGATCCGCCTGGCTCTGCCTTCTGAGCGACGGGAGTAAAGGTGTGTGGCACCACCGCCCAGCCAGGTGTTTGGTTTTTTTTGGGTTTTTTTTTTTTTTTTTTTTTCGAGACAGAGTTTCTCTGTGTAGCTTTGCGCCTTTCCTGGAGCTCGCTCTGTAGACCAGGCTGGCCTTAAACTCACAAAGATCCGCCTGCCTCTGCCTCCCAAGTGCTGGGATTAAAGGCGTGCGCCACCACCGCCCGGCCAGTGTTTGGTTTTTAATCTAATGTTAATGTTAGCATTCTGCTGGCCTTGAGGCCCAGCCGATATAGAAATTGATTATCAGTTGTCAGACCACATTAACTCCAAGTCAGGACAGACAGGACAGAGATAGTTAAATAACCGCCAATAAGAAAAATGCAGAAATAAAAAGTGCATTAAAAAGTGGAGCGTCCTCGTTAGGTGGTAGAGTTCTGAGCGTTGTACTGCAAGGAGTGGCAGAGGCTGATCCCCGGGAAATGCAGATCCATCAAATGTCCTATGACCTGCAGGAAGCAGTAGTTCTTGTTCCGTGACTCTCTACATATTTATTTATATAAATAGCAAATAAACGCTACCTTTTCTATGTGCAATGATATATCTGGTATTTTCTTTGCCACTTCAGTTTTTTACATTTTTATTTTTTGGTTTTAAATTTTTATGGTTATAATGGATTCAATTGACTTCCTAGCCATGGTGTGAATTGCACTGATCTTGATAACCAGGTGTTCTTATGCTTTCTCTATGCACTGTACACTTCCAAATACTAAAACTTAGGGTGAAGTACTACAAAGGATTGAAAGACTTAAAACAGTCAGTGCCCCAGTGCCACCATGCACAGAGAAGCAGTGCTCCAGTGCCATGGTGCCCAGTAAACCAGTGCTCCAGTGTCTTGTGCTGTGGTGCCCAGTGCTGCAGTGCCCAGTGAAGCAGTGCTCCAGTACTGTGGTGCCCAGTGAAGCAGTGTTCCAGTGCTGCAGTGCCCAGTGAAGCAGTGCTCCAGTACTGTGGTGCCCAGTGAAGCAGTGCTCCAGTGCTGCAGTGCCCAGTGAAGCAGTGCTCCAGTACTGTGGTGCCCAGTGAAGCAGTGCTCCAGTGCTGTGGTGCCCAGTGAAGCAGTGCTCCAGTGCTGTGGTGCCCAGTGAAGCAGTGCTCCAGTGCTGAGGTGCCCAGTAAAGCAGTGCTCCAATGCTGTGGTGCCCAGTGAAGCAGTGCTACGGTGCCATGATGCCTACTGCCACAGTGCACAGTAAACTGGTGCTCCAGTGCCATACTGCCCAGCTCCAGTGCCACAATGCCCAGTGAAGCAGTGCTCCAGTTGCAGTGGTGCTCCAGTGCTGTGGTGCCCAGTGAAGCAGTGCTCCAGTGCTGTGGTGCTCCAGTGCTGTGGTGCCCAGTGAAGCAGTGCTACAGTGCTGTGGTGCCCAGTGAAGCAGTGCTACAGTGCTGTGGTGCCTACTGCCACAGTGCACAGTGAACTGGTGCTCCAGTGCCTTGGTGCATAGCAAAAGCTGTGCTCCAGTGCTGTAGTTCCCAGATCCCATGCCACAGTGCCCAGTGAAGTGGTATTCTAGTATCTTGTGCTCCAGTGCTTCAGTGTCCAGTGAAAGCAGTGCTTCAGTGTCCAGTGAAGCAGTGCTCCAGTGCCACGGTGCCCAGTGAAGCAGTGCTCCAGTGCCACGGTGCCCAGTGAAGCTCCCCTTGAGCAGTGTACTGGCTCCTAGCTTCCTATGCAGCACAAGTTACTGGTGGAGAGGTCTCATGTCTCTCAGTCATGTCTCTCAGTCATTCTCTTTTAGGGAACAGTCCTCAGCTGCTCCAGGAGCACCAGGTGGCACTTTGGTATTGTCCTCATGCTGTGATTCTCCCTTGTCACAAAACCTGATGCCAGGAGCCATGTACCTTGGGGTGAGCATACAACAGCTGAGTGTAGGGCAAGCAGGCTGGCCCAGCAGGTTAAGGGGTCTCCTGCCAAGTCTGGCAACCTAAGTGTGACCCCCAGAACCCATACAATGGAAGGAAAGAACTATCCCCCCAACTGTCTTCTAATCTCCATACTCTATCATGACAGGCTCAAGTGTCCTGTGAGCTGGCTCCCTGGTCAAACTGAGCTGGTTTAGCTCCCCACACCACAATGGTCCTGGTGGAGAATGCTAGAGTGCTAGGCACATAACAGAGGAAAACACAGTGCTGATGTTGATCCTTTGATGACAAGCCCCAGCTTCGGCAAGTCATGTTACCTTTCTAGACTCACTTTCTACTAAGTGAAAGCACCTAGCTAACGACTTCAAACATATACAGGGAGTATAGAATGAACTTAGAAAAAAATAATAAAGTACAGACAGGCTGATACAACAGACTGAGGTTGGAAATGGCAGGCTCTCAGTGAGTCTGGACAACTAAACGGTCTGTTGCTACATCATAATGTAAAGATCCTAAAGGAAAAGTACTCTTAACACAAAGGTAGCTGGCACCCCTCATAGCCAATCACAGCTTTCACAAGGCACCACTCTGGATGAAATGTGATTTCCTTCCAGGGACTCAGTGGGAGCCGAGAAATGAAGCTTACAAAACCATCACAAAGGAGAAATCACACAGGTCGTGAATTGTGACTGACTGCTATCTCAGCAGCCCAGGATTCCTGTGATCAGACCATGACTGGGGGCTTCAAAAGCTGTGAAACCTGCAAGGGGTGTACCGCATGTGGGCATGCCAAGGGCTGGAGGAGCCCGGTGGGAAACTTGGCAATGGGGTAGTAGGCAATAGACCGACTACAACCAAATGCCTCCTGGGGATTTTGCCCTGCTCAGGAGCAAGCCCTTCCCACAGCTTTCCTGGCTGGTCCTTACAGGCAGTGTGGCCCCTGACACCCTTGTTATTCAGAGCTGATTGTCCCAAGCTTAGACAAGGACGGTCTTTCAGACACACAAAATCTGAGACACACCAAAGCCTCAGACTCCTGGGGAGTGGCTCCCTAAGCCAGCCATGGCTTCTCCCTGAATGGAAGACAGGAAGAGTGCCAACAGCCAGAGAGGCAGCCACGAACACTGGGTGTGCAGAGTGGAAACACGAGGTAGCAGGATACATGAGCAAGCGTGGAATTAGACGGGGCAAGGAGGAACAGGGGAGCTAAGCCAAGGCAGAGCTGGGGCTCCTGAACGGTGGACCCAGAGCAGGGCTGAGGACACCTGCTCCTGAGCAAGTCCCCGAGGCTGATGGATCCCAAGCAGCCCCCGGGGACACGGCACTATCTGGTTTCCTGGCTTCCCCCTTCCTCCACACCCTTCCCTGAATGTCTTCATGAACTAGAGCAGAGGTCCCCAACTCTGGCTCTGCACCTCATTCTCATAGATCCCCTGAAATAAGAACCGCTAAATTTGTGCCAGGCCATCTGTCTTAACTCCACATCTGATTTCTGAGCTCAGGCCCCACGGCGACTGAACTCAGATAACCTGTGCAAGCATCCGGTGTGGCCTCGTGGGAGGAAGTGTGTCACTGGGGGCGGGCTTTGAGGTTTCAAAAGTCCATGCCGGGGCCCAGTCTCTCTCTCCTGCTGCTGCCTGAGGATCTGAATGTAGAACTCGGCTTCTCCAGCACCATGCCTGCCTATTGCCCTGCTCCTCGCCATGATGATAATGGAGTAAGCTTCTGAAACTGTAAGCCAGCCCCAGTTAAATGCTTTCGTATGTAAGAGTTGCCTTGGTCATGGTGTCTCTCTCTTCACGATGGTCCAGTGACCTAGACAAGAGGCTAAACCTAAGCTGTAGAAGCTTATGAGGGATGAAGCAAGGGCCTGGAATGTGGAGCTGTCGAACTTGAACACTGTGGGTCTTCTAAGTTTCTGTGTGATGCTTGTCTAAGCCTCACAGTTAACTTCCTGGGACTGTGCGGGGTTCGTCACACCCCCACTTTAAAAACAGAAAGGCAGGCAATAGAAGAGAGACGCACTATCCAAATAACACCACAAACACAATCTGGAAGAATTCAGGCCCTGGCTTCTGAGTCGCACTGAGCCTTTCCACACAGCCCATCCTAACTGGATCACCATGGACCCTCGCCTTTAAGTAGGGAATAGAATTTGTAAAAATCATTCACTCATTAACTTACCTAAATTATTGTTTTTAGACAAAAACCAGGTTGGAAAAAAATGCTAAAAGTAGAAAAAAGTTAAAGTAGGAAGTGATCTTCAGTGTATATGCTTTCCTACCTTTCAAGCATGGGGACCCCACTGTAATATCACGTAATTTCACAGACCCTTCCCCACGTGATCATGAACACCACGAATTAAAATACAGTCAACTGGAAATGCGACTTAATTCAAAATAGCTTTTAACCGTAGTTTCTCAGTTATGACAGAGTCTATACGCCTTTAAACAGCAGAGGCACAAGGCTGCTGAGAGTTACGCATCAAAGAAGAAGGGGGCGGCCACAGGAGAACCTGACCGTCGCAGTTCCGGGCAGTTAGGAATCCTTCTGCTGGACTGTAACTAGCTCTCCGTCTCTTCCAGAAACTATCTGCAAGAGTTCCCTTTGGCATTCTGCTGCTGCGTAGCAGCCATTACCCCGCCAGGTCAGAGAACACCGTTTTCCTGCCTGCTGGGTGAAGGTCACAGATCCACAGCAAGGGCCCTTACCTAAAAACGACGACAGGAGGACCAGGAGTCTGTTGGCATCTTCATCTCCGAAGCACGATGATGCGCTTGTGATATTCTCGCTGAAGTTCCACAAGGTCTTGCACACCAGACAGGCCAGCTGCCAGTCACCGGGACCAAACTCTCTCAAGCAATCCACTAACCTGAGCGAGGAATGCCAAACCGAAGGCGTCAGCAGATCAGAGTTTGTCTTGACGTTTTCTATCGTTGGTACGATGGCTAGTCTTCTGAACTCCATATAATCATCCTTTAAGTTCATAGCTACACATTTAACTGACTACAAAGTTTTCACTCATGCTCCTCTGGATTGGGATAAATGTCCAGTAGATTCTCACCCCCCTCTGAACCCCCGCTGCTCTAGTGGAATGGTCAAAGGGCCCAACCTCTTGGGACAAACATGTTCCTAGTATCCTGAGAGTTGGGAGTTCTTGCCTTACTTACTTTTTAATGCCTCCACCTTCTTTCAGAATGGCACGCTTGTCTTTATCCACAGTGAGGTTTAGGAGAACCCCACAGGCGGCAAAGCAAATGTCCTGATGCTTGGCTTCCAGCAGCGCGATCATGAACTTGTGCACTGGGAGAGCAGAGAACACATGCAGAGTGTCAAAGCCTGCATCCCAGCTGCAGCTTGTTTTACAAATGGGGTGGGGTTTGGGACTGAGGGATGGACAGGGGTGGGGAAGCAGGAAGATGTGGCTTGCAACTCTGGAACCCTGGTTAGTGTGTTGAACCCATTCCTCCTAAGTTTTATCCAACTCCCACTGTGGACCCAGTAATACCCACTGCTCTTGGGGCGCGTTCCTACCTCCCACAGCCTCTGGCCCTATTACGGCTACCACTGACCCAACAGCAGCCCCCTCTCTGGGGGGAGTCCCCAGTGGTGGCATTTGTCTCTCCCCTTGGCATATTATAAAAAGCCCTTTGGATTAAACCTCAAGGTGACTGGGTATTGACCCAGGGCCCTCCCGAAGCCATCCTGTGTCTCTGTCTTATTGTCTCCTTCTATATTTCTATCTAATACTTCCTCATTCCTCTCTCTTCCCCCAGGAACCCTTCGACAGGTTGGAGCTGGACTATGACAGACTTCCATAGGGGCGGCAGAAAAACCTAATAATATTTACAAATCATAATACGTTATATTTATTGCAGATGTCCTTTTGGTTGTTGGACACTTAGTGTGTTCAGTGACAAGCAAAGTGTAATGTATTCTAGCATGTGAATGAAAAAAATCTCCAGTCTATCCCCAGGGATAGACATAATGAGTGCAGATTCCATTAAGCAACCAACACACACACACACACACACACACACACACACACACACACACACACACACACGAACGCACGCATGCAGTGCCTTATCCTATCACTTAAGAGGCTACTCTCGGGGAGAGAGACATAGCCTTGGTCTATTACAGCATCCTGAGCTGTCCCCTATATGGGACAAATGTAAAGCATGGTTCATCTTAAAATGGAAACAAACACCACACTTTATCACCCATGCTTCCAAGCCACTTAGCTGACTAGTGACAAGAGTCATGTGCTTAGGATCCCAACTGTCATTAACCCACCATTTTTCTGCATGAGGAAATTGCAGACGTCATGGTCCTGGGAGAGGTTTCCAAAGACCCGCACGGCCTCCAGGATGCCATCCATGTTGTTACTCACAAGGAGCTTTAAGAGCACTGGATTTGGCAATCAGACAGAGAAAATGAATAAATTTAAAATAACTTCCAAATGCCATTTATACTCTCTACTGTTACTACAGAAATGTATATACTTCAGCAGTAATAGAAGGAATACTGTGTGTATGAGGTTTTGTTTATGTGGGTTTATTGTTGTTATTTGTTTGACACATCCCTGGCTGGCCTGGAACTCACTCTGTAGACCCGGCTGGCCCCAAACTCACCGAGATCCACCTGTCTCTGCCTCTGGAGCTGAGCGTTTCACACAGTTCTAAACCTACACTGGTGACATTATTCTCTACTTCTTACTATAACCATATTTAAAGGTGAGTGAAAACTAACCTCCTAGAAAATACAGAGAACTTAACATTTTTTTTGATGCTGCTAAAATACAACCTGCAGATCATTTCAACGAGAACTAAGAAACAAATGGTTCCCATGTTCAACCTCCTCGGCTATCTGGGGCGGCTGCTGCAGTAATGCCTTCAGGGTGTGCTTTAGGTGCTAAAATCAAGACCTTAAAGGAGTGTCTTTAAGTGAAGCCATGCCCGACTGAGCCTTACGTTCAGCGACATACAGCTTTTTGTGTTGCAGGACGGAGCTCTTCACTTGATAGAATGACAGGTTGTTGATGGCTGCCGTGGCATTGATCACCAGCTCCTCACAGTCGCCCAGTGACTTGGACTCTGAAACCAAGTGATCAGGGAGTCAGAAATGCTCGGCTCTGCAGTGATGCCATATTCACAGCAACAGGAGTTGGGGCTGGGGAGCAAGATGGGTGTAGGCGCCCAAGAGGCACTGCTTGAGGAAGCTTTACTTCCCGTGACAACGCAGGACATACTAACCCGATTCCCACAGCCAGGTCTAGAAAAGTCAGATGGGGCCCTAGGTCTGCAGTGAAGAGGGCAATACCACTGGGACCTGAGATGTCCCCGACCTAACCCACATGCCCTGGTCTTAGGGACCCAACCTGGGTAGCTTACTTTAGTTCCCACATCTTGCCTCTCAACAGAGTGATCCTCAACTCAGGTCGTTATCCATCCCTCACCATTGACTCTGTCTTCCAAACACAACAGATGGCTCCTTGCTTCCTCCGTTACCCCCAGCCCTGCCCACCTCTGATCTGCCTGCCTCCCCCTCCTGGGTGCCAGAGTTAGAAGTGCGCCCACCATGCCCAGTTTATATTTTTTTGAACCCACACTTGAATTTTAAGTATTTACTGGAGCTCCAAGTACATTTACACGGGCTGGAGCTGCAGCTCCATTGGTAGAGGGCTTGCCTGGCATGCACAGGATCCTGGTTCGATTCCCAGCACCGCATAAACTGGGCATGGTGGTGTGCACCTATAATCCCATTATTCATGTGGTAGAGACAGGAAGATCAGGAGTTCAAGGTCATCCTTAGACACACAGTGAGTGCAAGGTGAGCCTGGGCTATATGAAAAGAAACTATGAAGAAAGACAAAAGAAACAAACACTTGATGAGCATGAAAACGAATAAACAGAATTTTAGCTTGATACATAAGGAGACTGTGTTTGTGTGTGTGTGTGTGTGTGGTTTTTTTTTTTTTTTGTCCCTATCTCTCATGCCACCTCCAGACTCATCTCTTCATGCTATGGTCACCATGCAGACGGGGACAGATGAGCTATGGAGTAGTCGGGTGCCTGGGATAATATGACTTCCCTGAGGCATGGGGCAGAGATCAGTGTGCCTGGAGACTGGGTACCATTGTGAAGGAGAGAGACACCTGAGTGACTCGGTTTGGGGCTTTCAGAATTGGCAAGTGATGGCTGTATCGTTTGGATGCCTATCTTCTGAAAGCACGCATAGTCAGCATTTTGTTGCCAGCCTGTGGTGGTCAACAGTGAGAGGTAGCATCTAATGGAGGAAAGGTATGTCACTGGGGTATGCCCTTAGAGAGGGCAGCAAGACTTTTGGACCTCCCTCTTCTCTATTTTTGACCCAAAACAATAGAAAAAGAGAGACAGACAGTCTCCCCATCTCAACAGTAGTTCCCACTAAAGAAGGACCATGGAGTCACCCGGTGCGTGAGAAGGTGCTAGCTACAGCCGGAAGAGGCATTCTCTCCGGGGGTAGGATTGGCTGCGGCATTGACCGTGAACCTCAGCCTCCAGACATGTGAGAAATAAATTTCTGTTGTGGGAGCCTGGGGAGATGGCTCAGCAGTTGAGGGTGCTTGCCGCTCTTCCAAAGGACCAGAGTTATGCTCCCAGCGCCCTTATCTGGCAGCTCACCTTATGTAGTTCCAGATCTGGGGGTTCTGACACCCTCCTCTGGCCTCATAAGCAGCCGCACATGTGGCATACAATCACGGGCGCACGCACACACAGATCAGCATCAGCTTGTTGTGGCAGGGTAAACTAGAAAGGCAGGCCATGAGGGATGGGGACATAATTACAGGTAACCCAGGAACTAGAAAAAGAAATGAACCTTCTACGTGTGGACTGATCCTGGAAAAATATGTCATTTTAAACTTTCGCCCAGTGTTTGCTCTTTTGATATATAAAATTGTTCTAAATTGTGATATGATTCGCCAACCATAAAACTTGACCTTTTAATATTTTTGCTTACTTATTTACTTACTGTGTGCCACAGCCCACGTGCATGTGTGGAAGTCAGAGGGTAACGTGTGGAAGTTGATTCTTGCCTTCCACTCCGTGCATCCTGGGATAGAACGAACTCCAGTCATCAGGGTTGGCCATGAGTACCTTTCCCTGGTGAGCCATCGAAACAACTCCAAACTCACCCTTTTAAGGGGATGATTCAGTGGTTGTGCTCTTTGGGAAAGATTTATGGCATTACTAATCTTCCTGTTTGGAAATCTGGGGTGTGTTAAGACACTTCTAGGCAGAAAGGTTTTGTGGTGGTGGGTTTGGTTTTGTCTCGTGTAGCCCAGGCTAGCCTTTAGCTTCCCTGCCTCTACTTCCTGAGTGCTGAGATTACAGGCATGTGCCGCCCCACATGGTATAAGCAGCACTGGAGATGGACCCCTGGGGTGTGTGTACGTCAGGCAAGCACTCTACCAACTGAGCCAAATCCCCCAAAGTGTTTTTCCTTTCCACAGAGAAGGAGGTTCCCTACAGGGAGCCAAACCCTCTCCACAGTCCTCCCACGGAACCGCCTCGGGCTACAGTTTCTCACCCAGCGTGGTCAGCAACAGGCCCACCACCTGAGGATTGGCGGCCAGCACTGGGCCGATGCGCGGGTGAATGGCTATGTTGGCCAGGACGCGGGTCAGCTTGACCAGCACGTCCTCAGCCTCTGGTGCCAGACCAGCTCCTGAGGGCCCCAGCCTTGGGGGGTGCTGGTCAAGTTGGTAGAAGTTCTGAAACAACGTGAGCAGAGTTTCGATGCTCCCTTGCTCTCTGGAGAAAACTTCCCGGGCCTGGTTATTCTTTGCTGTCAGGTTGCCAAGGATAAAAACAATGCGAATTACTAAATCCTGCAAAAAACAAAACAAAACACAAAACAAAAGACAGCGTCACAAGCACGAAGGAGCTGGAACAGTCATTGGAAAGAATAGAGTCTTAATTTAATTTATTCACAACTTAACTAATAGTAAAAATGGATCACATCTGGCCTCTGCAAAGTGTTGCGGCATGTGGGTCCCAAGATGGGCAAGATGGGTGCAAAGTGACAGAAGAGATCAGGGGCGCTTGGTGGCCCTGAAAGGAGGCAAAGTGGCTGATGGGAGCCTTCATCTCAAAATCTGGGTGGTCTCTTAAAAAGTTCCCTGAGAACAATTAGTTGAGGGGAGCTAAGTCTGTCATGTCAATCAAAGTTCTGAAGCTAACAGATATCTTGAGCATCCAAATCCTTTTTCATGAAAAAACCCTCTCCCCCAACACCTCTACTCCCCACTGAGCTACCGTATTCAAAAATCAAGCACCTAACAGAGGAATGGGTTACAACAGGACTTCTTGATTTCAACACTGTTGACACTTGCAGCAAGGGAAGTCTGTCTGTCTGTCTGTCTGTCTGTCTGTCTGTCTGAGGCAGGGCCTCTTCATGTAGCCCATGCCTACAACCATTGCGCTACTGAGGGACCCCATATTAATATGGCGACTGTTAATTCTGAGCATGGGTGAGCGCTATATAACTGAAACTTTTAAAAACTGTTTGATAGTTTATATATGTGTGTAAATGTACTTTTCTGTACATACGCCATATTATAAATATGTTTTTATCTATTGGCTTTTCTTGAGATATGTTTGTAGCTAGAGTTTTCCTGCCTGGCCCACAGTCAGGACAAATCTCACTCACCTGCCAGTCCCACAGCCGCTCAGACCCAACCAAGTAAACACAGAGACTTATATTGCTTACAAACTGTATGGCCGTGGCAGGCTTCTTGCTAACTGTTCCTACAGCTCAAATTGATCCATTTCTATAAATCTATACCTTGCCATGTGGCTCGTGGCTTACCGGCATCTTCACGTGCTGCTTGTCATGGCGGCGGCTGGCAGTGTCTCTGACTCAGCCTTCCATTTCCCAGCCTTTATTCTCCTCCTTGTCCTGCCTATACTTCCTCCTGCCTGACTACTGGCCAATCAGTGTTTTATTTACCAACCAATCAGAGCAACACATTTGCCATACAGAACATCCCACAGCATATGGTCTCATGTATTGCAGACTGGCCTTGAACTTACTATGTAGTCAAAGATGACCTTGAACTCCTGGTCCTTTGTTTCCACCATTGAGGGCTGAGGTTGCAGGTCTGTGGCACCAAACCCAGTTTATTTTATAGTGGGAATTGGCCACAGAGCTTTGTGTGTACTAGACAAGCAAACATCTACCAACTGGAACACCCCCCTCCTCTAAAACTGGTTTGGTTCATTCATTCACTCATTCATCCATCCATTCATTCATTCATTCATTCATTCATTCATTCATTCATTTATTGGTTTGGTTTTTGTTTTGTTTTAAAGAAAGGTAAAATATAGACATGAGAAGCTGAGGAATTGCCATGTGTTCGAGGCCAGAATGGGCTACATAATGAATTCCAGGTAGCCTAGGCTAGAGAAAAGAAAAGAAAAAAAAAAGGAAAGAAAGAAAAAGAAACATGAAGGAGAAAAAAAGTAAAAAAAATTAAAAACCTAACATGAGAAACCTTTAAATTAAAGATACAGAAGTATTTATGGCTTCACTGGGCAAAATGCTGTATGCCTGTAATCTTGGCACTGAGAGGAAGGCAGAGGGTCATGAGTTCAAGGTCATCCTCCTCCACTACACAGACAGTGTGAGGCCATCTGAGCGACCTGGCGCCCTGTCTCAAATGATCAACTGTTTCCTTAGTTTGACAATGTTACACAGAAGAATCGAGATGAGCCCTTTTAGTCCAGGGTGAGGAATGAGCAGAGGAGGTCACACAGAAGGAAATGAGGAAGAAATGCTTGCTAAGGTCATCGCTCAGCTGGGTGTGCTATTTAGTGTGCTGACCACCGAGCTCTTTTACCCTGGCTACTGCAGAAGCTGTGCAGGCCCATGGCTAGTCCAAGTGGAACAGATCCTGGACCCTGGGGCCCTCCCACACAGGGGCCATCGGTTCCTCTCCTCTGCCCTGCCAGCTTGCAGACAGTTAAGGACTTAAGCCACCAGCTAGGGGGATTTCCACCATTCTGGCTTTGCTGAGCAGATTAGTAGTCACAGCAGCCTCAAGGAAGGGGGCGGGGCCAAGGGCTAGGCACAGTTTTTAACAAGGTACAAAGGAACAGACGGAATCCTGAGGTCCAGTCCTAGGGGTTGGGTGTGGCAGAGTCAGGAAGATTGAGGGCAAAGGACACCTTTTGATTTGCCGGAGACAAATCTGCCAATGCCAACTTGCTCCTGCATGTTCTGGAAGAAATGTCCCTGACCCTGGCAGAGCAGCTGCGGGGCTGCCGCTGGCTGGCGCAGCTGTGAACCACTTGCCATCATGAAGAAGGGGCAGAGCCCAACACTGTGGCAAGGACAGGAGCCCGCCCAGGACAGGGACCATTTTCAGAGACAGTCAACTCACAGCTACCTCCCAGACAGGGGTTGTGCACACACAGACCACCACGACAGTGTTCCGAACAGCTTGCAAATCTACTTGACCAGCACAGACTAATCTGTGAGGGAGGGCATCTTTGCAAAGAGTGAAACAGTAAAGGAGATGAATTCTAGCCAGAGAGCCACAGGAGACACAGGGTCGCTGGACCCCGAGAGACTGTATCCTGACAGTGAATGAGTGAGACTCTGAATGAGTGAGACATGTGACTGAGTACACCAAGATCTTAGCTAACAGCGCTGAACTGCGGAGCAGAGCCTGCAGATTGAGGAGTGCAGAAAAAAACCGGATGCTCAGAGCTGGGAGTAAGGGTGCAGACCTGGAATCCTGGCAGTCACGAGGACTGAGTTCAAAGCCAAAGCCAGCCTCTGAAATACAGTAAGGGAGGGGGAAGGAGAGAAGGAAGAGAGGAAGGAAGAGAAAAAAGAGAAGTAGAGAAGGAGGGGGAGTAGGGGAGGGAGGTAAAGCGAGGAAGGAAAGGGGAGATGGAGAAAGAAGAGAGAAAAATGACGGGCGGGAGAGGAAAAGAGAAAAAAGAAAGAAAATGGGGGGATGGATGGAGAGACAGAGAGAGGCAGATGAGATGGCTCAGGGGTTAAAGGCGCTTGCTGCCAAGCTTGAGGACCTGAGTTCAATCCCTGGAGCCCACAGAGTAGGTGGAGAGAAGCTACTCCCCAAAAGTTAGCTTCTGACCTCCACATGTGTGCCATGGCATGCATGTGCCTGCACATGCTCTCAAACACACACACACACACACACACACACACACACACACACACACACACACTAAACATTTTGAGCAGCAGATTCAAGGGAGCCAGTGAGCAGCAGATTCACCACAAATGAACTTGAGACCGACCTTGAAATGCTAGGGAATACTGACTGTGTGGACAGGGCTGGGGGTAGTCTGTAAAGGGTCCCTGTGGGACAATCTCATGATGCCTGATATCAAATTATCATTGCCTAGCCATGTGCATTCCCCAAAGGACCTGAAGCCTGCCGGAAGCACAGGATTTCACCAGGACACTGAATCCCATGGCACGGTACCTTCAAGCAACTCCCAGTGCCAAAGGCCCTGGGCTCTGGAGACAGCGTTTCCAACACCCAGGCCAGGTCCCGGAGAAAAGCAGGACAGAGGGGATTGCCCAGCACTAAGTTCCCTGGTAGGAAATTCTGCTTCCTATTTTCCAAGCCAAGGACTGTGAGCAGAATTTCTGCAGAAACTTTGATCTGCTTTCTGACTCTAGACAAGCTCTGCTTCTGTGCCCATCAATACTGACCACAGCAGGAGTATCAGCGACCAACACACGGGCCTCCAGATGTGCTGGTGGGGTTCCCTCTCTGCTCTGATAAACACCATGACCAAAGGCAACTCGGGAAAGAAAGGCTTTGTTTGGCTTGTGCTTCCACATCAAGTCCGGGCAGGAACCTGGAGGCAGGAACGGAGGCAGGGGCCATGGAGGAAGGCTGCTTTCTGGCTTGCTCTCAGGCTCACATTCGGCCACTTTTCTTACCCCTCCCAGGATCACTAGCCCAGGAGTGGCATCACCCACAGTAGACTGGACCCTCTCACGTCAATTATCAATTCAGAAAAGGCCCCACAGGTTTGCCTACAGCCCAGGCTATTGCCGGGTTGGGGGGGCTGAGTTTTTTGTTTGTTTGTTTTGTTTTTTCAGTTGAGGTTCTCTCTTGCCGGATGACCCGAGCTTGCGTCAAGTTGACCAGACAACATAACTAACCTGCAAACAAGGCTTAATAGACACACACGAACCGCATCACTAACCGTGATCTTCGCCATCTGAACAAAGCTGTTCCCAGCGTCTTATCCCCGACAGCAAGCTCCTCCCCCATTTCACAACAGCTGCCTTACTGTCCCCCGCGGTGTTCTCCCAGCCCCACAAGGGAACATTAAAAGAGACAGCAGAGACATTGTGAGTGATTTAAAATGTCCTCTGGGGAAGTTAACAAACAGCTTATTCATCTTGCTACATCATTGTCAGGACTAATCCATTTACTCCCCAAATGTGACGGCTGCATTGTGAAGAATTCTCAGTGCTGGGTTCTTTCTCTCCTCCTTCCCTCCTCCTCTTCCTGGGTTCCTCTGGCCCAGGTTACTTCCTCCACCTATCCCTGCTCAGCAGCCGGGAGCATTTATCCCAGAGCCTGTGAAATTCATCTGGACAGACCAAGCACTGCTTTTCCTAAAATTCCCCCTGGGTCCTTGCCACATCGGAATATTTTTTTTTTTATTCTAACTTCCGTGTGGGTCGCGGCGTGGCGTGGATGACTCGGTTCGCAGAGGTTGCAGGGCGGGAAGAGTTAATGCTGTCACAATGCCTCCCCCCTGCCTTCAGATGGCAGAGGGAGGGGGTGGTTCCTGGCAGTAGCGGTGCCAACTGAAGGATGGCATGCAAGAG